TCATTAATATAACATGCAAGCAAGATTCTGCTGAAAATGATCCAAAAACAACTGGAGCAGTACATCAACAGAGAACTGCCAAATGTGCAGGCTGGGTTTAGAATCGGTCATGGTACTAAGAATATCATAGCTAATGTTAGATGGATCTTGGCAGAAAGCAGAGAATAGAGGACTGCCTATCTGTGCTTCATTGACTATGCAAAGACTGTGCGGATCACAACAAACTGTGGCTGACTCTGAAAAGAATGGGAATCCCAGAACATTTGACTGTGCTTATGTGAAACCTACACTTGGACCAAGAGGCAGTCGTCAGAACAGAGCAAGGAGACACTGCATGGTCCATCAGGGATGTATTCTGTCTCCATACCTTTTTGATCTGTATGCAGAACAGATCATCTGGGACACTGGGTTATATGAGGAGGAATGTGGCATCAGGATTGGTGGAAATGTGAACGGAGTCTGAGATCAGAGAGGGGCTCCACGCAGGGCAGCACCCCCTCCCACCCGTGCAAACACCAGTGCCTGTGAAGTCCAGGCTCCAGGTCTGTTCCTTTCCAGGGTCACTATGGACGGTGCTAAACGGGACCACACCTAACAACAACCTTTTCACTTTCCTTTCATCCTGCCTAAAAAGTTAGCGTTGAACCAAGATTTACTAGACAGATATTTTCTTGTGCTTAAGTGTTCTCAATATAGCTGTGTAAATCCTGCAAGTTGTTCTTAATACAGTTCTGTAAATCCCTGCGGTTTGGGACATTTAATGCTCCCTGTACTTCTTTTGTGCTCCCAAAGCAGACCTCAGACTGTTCACATTTCAGGAACTTTTTCATTATTTCAGTGTTTTTTGTTTTAATCCTACAAACTTACGAGATCACTAGATAGTGTACACGTAACTGTTGCATGCACTGGGAAATCTTACTATCCCTCCTTTATTGTAATGCTTGCTAATAATCTGGGCACAAGATCTTCACTAAGTGTGAGATACGCCTGCATATGTGGAATGTGCGAACCACAGATGACTCAAACACAGCCACCAGAGACCTCCCATCTCCACGAGGAAGAGCCACGGCTGCAGAGGATCTGCTCCACAGCTCTGTGGGCGCACAGGGGCTCAGGACACTGCTAGGTCAGCAGGAGCGCAGGATCGAGTGTGTGGGCACAGGGATATGACATGGGACCAAAGCACAGCACACAGCTGACAAGTGGTGCAAGGGTTCCCAGGGCTGCAGATGCTTGCAGAAGGCGACTGCCCATCATTCTCCCTCGCGTGGCCAGCATCTGGGGAGTCCCAGTCGCTGGTCTCTACACTTGTCCCCGCACACGAAGCCACAATGACAGAAATCCCATGTGCTCGCTGTCCTCCGTGAAGACCACCGTACAGTTACCTGTTTGTAGCCTGAAGAGTCACCATGCAGAGAGGCTGCCCCTTTCCAGAGCGCGCAAACATCTGGGAGTCCATAGCACAGGCTGTCACCGCCCCACTCAGATACAGAGGCCTCGAAAAGGGACCAGAACAGGGGCAGAGTCTCCCTGCAGCCCCGCCCCCAGCAGAGGGCCTGGCCCTCCTGACACCGAGTCCCAGCTGCAGGGCCTCTGACCTGGGGCTCCCAGAAACATGGCGACCCCAGACCCCACCAGGAGCGCCCCGCTGCTCTGCTGTGCGCTCCTCTGCCTGCTGCTCGCAGGTGAGCCTGGGCTCGCGGCTGGTGCAGCCGCTGCGCTGCTAACACAAAGACGCTGTCCCTCAGGGGTTCAAATCCACCAGCCGCAAGGCTGCCATTTACAGCCACGGAAAACCGCTGGAGGGTGGTCTGCGCGTCCGGTCGACTCGACTGGCAATGGGCTTAGGTTTGACTCTTTTGGGTAAGTGTCATGTCCTCAGCTGCTCTGACTCCCGCCCGTGTCCCATCACCACCAGGCAAAGCAAAAGCCCGGGTGACTCAGACCCCTAGACATCGCATCGCCACACTCAAGGAGACGCTGACAGTGACCTGCGTGCAGGACCTGAATCACAACGCCATGTACTGGTACCGCCAGGACCCGGGCGGGGGCTACAGCTCCTCCACTACTCGGTAGATGTGGACATCACAGCCAAGGGGGAACACCCAAACGGCTACGGGGTGTCCAGAAAGGAGAAGAAGAGCTTCCTGCTGACCCTGGAGTCTGCTGTCCCCAACCAGACAGCTCTGTACCTGTGCGCCAACAGTGTTGCCACAGCGCTGCAGGGACAGCTGCTCCCTGTGCACAAAGGGCTCCCCGGGGCTGAGACCGCACGCAGGAGACGCCCAGAGGCCTCCCACTCTGACCTTAACCTGAGCTCAACAGACAGTGACACCTCTTCTCGTCTAGGGGACCAGGCACCTCCCATCCCCCATGGAAGGACAGCTTGCTCTCTCCCCACCCCCGCTCTGGCTGAAGGAGTGTGTTTTTACACAAGGTCAAGCTCTTTCTCTCAGTTGTTGTTAGGTGCCACTGAATCAACTAGAACTCACAACGACCCTACAAAGCACAGATCTGAATCTCGCCTGTCTTGTGCCTTCCTCTTGAGCTCTGCCAAAGCCATGCCCATTGTGTAGTCACTGTGTCCATCCATCCTCTTAGAGGACCCCTCCTCCCTTCCTCTGACCTTTCCCAGCAGGCTCTCGTGCTCTCTCTCTCTGAGGACTGGTTGCTCCAGAAAACACGTCTGCAGTTCGTGAGGAAGCATTTCACCATCCTTGCCTCTATGGGACACTCAGGCTATACTCCCTTCAGGACATACTTGTCTGACCTTCTGGCAGACAGTGGGATATTCAATACCCTTCACCAACACCACAAACCAAAGGCATCAACTCTTCATTAAGTGTCCTTGTTCGTTGGTTGTTCAACTCTCTGATACATAAGAGGCAACTGGAAATGTCAAGGTCTGTATCAGGGGCACCTTAGTCTCATGTTGTTGTTGTTGTTGTTGTTGTGTACTATTGAGTAGACTGACCCTTAGCGCACTTCCCAGTGGGTTTTCAGAGGCAATAAATCACATGGGAGGAGACTGGCCATCTTTCTCCCACGGAACAGCTGGTGGATTGTAATCACATGCCTTGGTTTGGTAGTGCAAAGATGAAGCAGTGTCTCACGTACTTTGGGCATGTTGCTAGGAGAGGCTGTTCCTTGGAGAACGACATCATGCTTGGAAAGGCAGAGGGTGGAGAAGAGGAAAGCCCTCAACCAGGTAGACTGACACAGTGACGACAATAACGGGCTTGCGTGTGTCAGAGATGATGGGGATGGCACAGGACAGGACGGGGTTCAGGCCAGTTGTTCAGAGGGTCACTATGAATTTTACTCAACGTAACAGCACCTGACACTAGCCCACCAGGGCCTCTTCAGCCTCTCACATCTACACATGTTATAGGATGGCAGAATTCCTAATATGTGACATTGCTGTGTTTTTCATAACTTTCTTAGCCTAGACTATGAGTTGGCCCCATGATCAAAGGGCACCTTTTAGGCAGTGCTGCTGATGACTCACTGATGTGTGACAGTGCTGTGTTTACTGGACAGGCTCCCGGAATCAAGTCCATGAGCTGAGCGGCCTTTACAGGTTTGATTTCTGGAGATCCTTGGCTTCTCTTGGGGAATCAGGTCTGTAACTCTGTCATCCTCCAGATTCTCCCAACCATGCCATTACCTGCCGTGGAGTTGTGTATACTTTAGACACATAGCCAGGTGAGGAGATTCCTTGGAAAGGGACAGCAGGCTTAGAAAGAAGGAGGGTCATAATTTTTGACTCATGTACTTATAACTTGTTAGTTAAATTTGTGTCTTCTAGGTTGCAACACCCCCATGATACATCTTCAAGGATATGAACATGTACGGCTAAGCACAATTAATAACAGTGCATCTAAATTCCAAAATCAATCTCCATAATAGTCTATGTGTTTCCTACTGCCAAAGGGGCCCTTTAGAGTAGTGAGAGAAGATCTTCACCCTGAAACCCACAGCGTCCCTTTTCAGCAGGAAGTAGCTAAGAGAATACGCCATCCCCTTTTCCTTATGAATCAGGGTGAAGTCTCTCTCAGGGAGGAGTGATAGGGAATGGCAAGGGACACACTGACAAAGGAGATTAGTCAGAACTGACTTTGACAAGCACTGTGGCAATTGGACAATTAAAACAGACATTCGGATGGTGGGGGAAGAAGAACAAACTAGGGAGGAGGGTAGAGAGAATGGTGCAGCAATGAAGGAATGAAAACCCAAAATCCCTGTAAATGTTCATTAAAACTAATAAAATTTAATAATAATAATAATAATAAAAAGAAAAAGAAAGAAGGAGGGTCAATGAGGGAAAGGAAGAAGCCCAATGAGATGGAGTGACACTGACTCCAGCAACGGGCTCTGGTGTGTCAGAGAGGGTGAGGATGGCACAGCACAAGGCAGGGTTCAGGGTGGCTGTTCCCAAGGTCACAAAGAGCCATGCTCGACTCAACAACACCTAACAACAACAATGGATTTGACTCTGACGCATAAGGACCCGACGTCCGACACATAAAAACCTTGCTCTCTCCTGCACCGTCTGCATCGTTCCACCACCCAAACCCATTGCTGCAGTCACTGGGTCACTTCACCTTGTGGAAGGTTTTTCTTTCTCTGCCCTTCACTTCTCCAAATGTGATGTCCTTTCCCCAAGGACTCTTCTTCTTGGTAACATGCCCATAGCACGTAAGATGAAATGTCCTCATCCCTACCTATTAAGGAACACCCAGGCTGCACCTTCTCCAAGACTTTCAAGACCTCCACAGGCAACAGTAAAAGTGAGACTACCGTTGATGGTTTGGATTTGACATTTGGGTTTTGTGTGGTGATAACAGTGTAAGTAGCCTGCCCTTCGCAGAGACTAAAAGGTGTATTCTAAACATAGAGTAAACTCTCAGGAAACATAGCTCAGCTCTTATCCCAAACAAACCATTTTAGGGTGCTACATGTTACACAGTCCCTCAGATTCTTGCTGCAGAAGATCAAAGAACACAGCCTTGATACTGTAACTCAACATGTGAAACCCCCACAGAATCCTCACCATTGTGCCAATAGGCAGCATCATGATAGATGGAGAAAGTTGTTAATCATTTCATCTTTCTTGGCAACAGCAATCAGGAAATCAAAAGACAAGTTGCATTGGGGAAAAATTAAGGTATTCAAAAATAATGTTGAACCTACAACCAGGAGAAGATAACGTAGATGAATGGGATCTTCTAAGACTCAAATCCCTATGCACATCCAAAAACTTCTCCAATAGGGTAAAAAGGGAAGCCACTGACTGGGAAAAAGTATTTGGCAATAACATATCAGATAAGGGACTTATATCCAGAATTTATTAAATACTTGAGCACCACAACAAGATAAAGGTAAATAATCCAATAGAAAAATGGGCACAGGATATGAACAGGCACTTCACCGAAGACGACATTCAGATGGCTAACAAGCACATGAAGAAATGCTCAAAATCCCTAGCCCTAAGAGAGATGCAAATTAAAACAACTATGAGATATCATCTCACCCCAGTCAAAATAGCAAAATTTAACAGAACAGCAAGCAACAAATGCTGGCGAGGTTGTGGAGAAACTGGAACCCTGATTCACTGTTGGTGGGAGTGTAAAATGGTACAACCCCTGTGGAAAGCAGTATGGCGCTTTCTCAAAAAGTTGCAAATAGAGATTCCATTTGACCCAGCAATTCCACTACTGGGAATATACCCTGAAGAGACCATAGCTGACACCCAAGCAGATATATGCACACCCATGTTTATTGCAGCTTTGTTCACAATAGCAAGGAGTTGGAAACAACCTAAGTGCCCATCAACAAACGAATGGCTAGAGAAGCTGCGGTATATTCACACAATGGAATACTATGCTGCATTGAAAAACAAGGAACTCATGCAATATTATTCAAAATGGTTGACTCTGGAGAACATTATGCTGAGTGAAATATCCCAGTCACAAAAGGACAAATATTACATGATGCCACTGCTGTAGAATGGGACTAACCTCGGGGTTGGGGAGAGACTGAGTAAGATGGGTTCAATAATGTATACTGCACTGAAACAGAGGAGGGAGAAAACTGTTTAAAAGAGATATGTGACTAGGTATTTCTGTCATCACAGGAGTCTAGAGCGATGGCTACATGGTGGAGGGGACCTGGGGGAGGGTTTGTAAAACAATGAAAGAATCTTTTTACTTTTCCATAATTTTTGACTCATGTACTTATAACTTGTTAGTTAAATTTGTGTCTTCTAGGTTGCAACACCCCCATGATACATCTTCAAGGATATGAACATGTACGGCTAAGCACAATTAATAACAGTGCATCTAAATTCCAAAATCAATCTCCATAATAGTCTATGTGTTTCCTACTGCCAAAGGGGCCCTTTAGTGAGAGAAGATCTTCACCCTGAAACACACAGCGTCCCTTTTCAGCAGGAAGTAGCTAAGAGAATACGCCATCCCCTTTTCCTTATGAATCAGGGTGAAGTCTCTCTCAGGGAGGAGTGATAGGGAATGGCAAAGGACACACTGACAAAGGAGATTAATCAGAACTGACTTTGACAAGCACTGTGGCAATTGGACAATTAAAACAGACATTCGGATGGTGGGGGAAGAAGAACAAACTAGGGAGGAGGGTAGAGAGAATGGTGCAGCAATGAAGAAATGAAAACCCAAAATCCCTGTAAATGTTCATTAAAACTAATAAAATTTAATAATAATTTAAAAAATCCCATACAAAAAACAAACAAACAAACAAACAAAATAATAATGTTGATACTTTTTGAGGTCAAAAATGTGTCCGCAATGCCATGGTCCCAAGGGCAGCACAGTCATGACAGGTGAATGGGGGAGGTAAGTGGTGGACAGGTCAGGGCATCCTGTGGGAGGAACCAGGAGCCCCACCAGGGGGCAGTGTCGTGTCTGCTCTGCAGAAACTCCCCTCCCTGCTGGAGGAGGGGCAGAAAGCAGGAAGGAAGGGGGTACTTGACTTCTCAGGTCCTCCTCTCAGGGCAGGGAGAGAGGGGCTGCCCCCAAAATGCAGAGTCTTCTGCTGCTTCTCCTCGGGGCAGGTGTGAGCCTAGTCCCCTGGTATTGGGGTCACAAGTCTCCTGAGCAGAGGGGCACCTCACACCACGGTCAGGGTTCAGGGGTGGAGGGTGGGAGGACGGTGATCCCTCATGACTCTCCTATCTCTCTGGAGGGAGGCTCTGTATCCGGTGTCCTTGTCTCTTAAAAGGCAAGCAGGGACATCAGTATTTTATCTAAGTGGATAGTCAAGGCTCTGTTACGTTGTGGTACCACCAGCCCCAGGACAGAGCTTGACACTTTACCCTGACAGCATTTATGCACCAAGTTCTGAGGCCATGCATGAGTGGGTTCACCAAGACAAATGACCCATCAGCCGCCCAAACCTCACCCTCTACACCCTCACTGAGAATGAGGGCTCCGAGGAGCTGTGATCTGAAACATGGTGTTGGGACGGGGCCTCAGGACTTGGACAAGAACTCTGCACCCCACCCAGTCCAGCAGACCAGCCCACCCACCCCCAAGGAGGAGTTTCTGCAGAGCAGACAGGACACTGCCCCCTGGTGGGGCTCCCGGGTCCTCACTCAGGATGCACTGACCTGTCCACCACTTACCTCCCCACATTCACCTGTCACCTGTGTGCATGTGGGTGCATGTGGCGGGTGGGACGGGATGACTTGGGGTGGGAGACCTGTCAGCAGCAAAAGAGGACGTCAACCACAAACCAGAAGAGAGCATGTGAGAATCTAACAGTTATCCTTCTTCTAGAACAGTCTGTAGAGATGCCACAGTGAGATAAAAACATTTATGATGCCCTGCTAGAACTGTGTGCCAACAAGCTCCATTAGCTAGTAAAAAATGGGTTCTTTTTAACAATGCTTTGCCAGTTTAAAGAGTTAATTTATGCAGTAGTATGTCTACAAAATTCCAGACTTTTGATATTTGAAATAACAACCAAAGATTTGGATCTGATCACTGAGGATAAACGCTTTTGGGAGATGGAATCCTGATGATCACGTCTCAACTTTGACTTCAGGACATCTCAGCGTCAGTGGATTCAGTGAGCCCTGGATCCAGTGGTGGCAGTGGACAAATCTTCCCTACGTGCCTGAGCTCAGAATGTTGTGTAGGAATTGGCCATGGACTAGAAACCCAGGATGTTTCTGCCCTGTGGCAATGTCGTGTCATCTGCATGGCATGGCTTGTTAATGCTCTTCTTCCATTCCTGGTGTGTCCGTCACGTAAGTTAGCTTTTGGGATTATTTTCTCAGCACATGGACAGAACAAGGATGGAGAGAGGAGACACCAGCATCGCTTTATAAAAACCAAGCTGCTAGCCTCAGCCTCGTTACAGCCTTACAGCGTCACCCCTGGGCAGCGTGGAGCAGTCCAGAGGGACCCAAGGAGCCCTGGTGCGTGGCAGATGCATGTCGAGTTGCTGACCAAATGGTCTGTGTTGATAACGACGGCTCTTCCCCAAGTTCACAGTCCTGAGTGAAGGTCACACACATCTACTCATTTGATAGTAAGAGCCACATTGTGGAGGAGCTGCCCCTTCCTGGGGAGCCCCGGGGGGGGCAGTCTAACCCAAAGGCTGCATCTTCCCAGGCTGTTCAAATCCACCAGTGGCTTCTCGGTAGAATGGTGAGTAATCTCCTACCTCTATACGACTGGCAGCCTAGGAAGCCGGATGCAGATAGCTCAGAGTCTGAACTGACTCCAGGGTTGTGGGGTGGAGGGTTTTGACACCTTTCCTGACCGTGGCTACATCAGGAGGTCACAGTCACTGCAGCTGCAGACACAGGAGGGAGCAAGGAGACAAGGGAGTGGGGGGAACTCCAGATTGCCCCACCCCAGCAGGGGGGCGGTCCTTCCTGACAGAGGCTGTAGCTTCGGGAACCAGGCTTGACCAAGCCCAATGCCTCTTCCAAGCGGGCTTCCAGCGCTGAGAATCCATAATGCCTCCTCCACTGTTCTCCGGCGTGCTCCTCTGCCTCGTGTGGGCAGGTGAGTCCCCGGGACAAGTCAGTGCCTGGGACAGGTGACCCCCGGCACTGGCCGCCTTCAGGGAAGCTGCAGTGTCTTCTCCTCAGCTCTGATCCCAGCCTTTGACACATCCCACCAGGCTCTGTGGATGCTGGGGTGATCCAGACCCCAAGATATTACATCGCCAGTCGCGGGGAGATGTTGACAGTGGTGTGCGAACAGGACCTGGGTCACGACGAGATGTACTGGTACCGCCAGGACCCAGGAGGGTCGCTGAGGCTGCTGCACTACAGCATTAACGTGGACTTTGTGGAAAAGGGGGAGTTGGGCAGTGGGTACCAGGTGTCCCGGAAGGAGAAGAAGAGCTTCCCGCTCACCCTGGAGTCTGCGGTCCCCAACCAGACCGCCCTGTACCTCTGCGCCAGCAGTTAAGCCACAGTGCTGTGGGGACAGCTGCTCCCTGTGCACAAAGATTCTGGGGCTGAAACCCCGCCCAGGGGTCCAGCGGGCACACCCAGGGCCACCGCCTCCTCCTGCCTCCTCCGCTCTGCGCTTCTGCTCACCACTGCGCCCAGGAGACACTCAGACCAGCAAAGGGAGTCGGTTCTGTGCTGTGACCACACCATTTTCAGCTCAGTGGCCCAGTCAGCCCATCGGCACCCAGACCCAGAGCTCGGCTTTCAAGCTTCATCACGCTCAACAGAGTTGTCCTCATCCCAGGTCCACACCTGGCTGTGGTGCTGCTGGGGGAATAACACTGGCTGAATTGGGGCTTATTAATCTGACGCCCCCTGTTCATGCACACTGACACCTGTGTGAAGAGGGGAGTGGCTTTCAGGCTCGAGCATCTGGAGATGTCTGAGGGCCAGGGGTGTGGGCAGGGACATTGACGTCACAGTCACCCCATCCTGGGCACAGGGTCCATTCGCCCTCCACGCTGCCATGGGGAACACGTTCCTCTGCATCCTGACCTGCTCTTTCCTGGGTGAGGGTCAGTCCTGGGGGTGCCCCCAGACCTTGTCCCCAGTTCCCACACTGGACACCCGCTGTCCTCCCACCAAGTCCTCCCAGATCTCCTTCCTCACCTCTGCTCCCTCCCCTTCCAGGGCTCACAGGCGCTCAGGTCACCCAGAGCCCCAGATACCTGCTCACAGGCCCCGGGAGGAAAGTGCTGCTGACCTGCGTACAGCACCTACAACACGACAGGATGTTCTGGTACCGACGAGACCCGGCTCTGGGGCTGCGCCTCATCCATTACTCATATGGTGCTGGCAGTACTGAGAAGGGGGATGTCCCTGATGGGTACAATGTCTCCAGGAAGACAGTGGAGAGCTTCCCCCTGACCCTGGAGTCCACCAGCCCCAGCCAGTCGTCTGTGTACCTGTGTGCAAGCAGTAAGGACACAGTGACTCACAGCCACTTCCTCTCTGCACAGAAAGGCGGTGCTGCCTCGAGGGGACCTTATGACATCAGAAATGATGGCATGACGTCACCTGACCTGCAGGTACACAGCTTTCATGAAAGAAGAGAGCAGGCACATGCTTGCCAGGAGACAAGAGACTGGAGACAGTTTTCAGATCCCACTGACCACTTTATCAAGCCAGGGTCACCAACCCATGTGCCCAGACTGCACCCCAGCCGAGAGAACATCTATGAGGGTCCACACTGGAGTCATTCTATGCCTGTGGCCCTCAGTGCCCTCCCCTAAGCCCCACCGCTGTCAGCTGGTTCTGCCCACGGGGGATGAGGAGACCACACTCCACAGGGTCTTCCTGGCTGCAAACATCACAGAAGCAGATCATCAGTTCTCTGTGAAGCCCCTGGCTGGCTGGGTTGGACCCACCAACCTTTAGCTAGAAGAGTCTGCATCACCCGGCTTCCTGCATCAGACGCGGCCACCTTACCGACCTCTCAGCTCTGCCCATAGTGACCCTATGGGGCAGATTTCCAAGGCTGTCTGTCAGTCGTCACAGGAGAAGAGTGCTTCCCCTCCCTCCCGGGCAGCGGCTGGAGGGTTCTACCCCCACCTTGCTCTCTGCAGTCCAGCGCTTAGCCCACTGAGACACTAGGGACACTACAGAGTTGACATTGCCTCTGAGGCTGTGGGGGTTGCTCTTGGCTGATGCTTCACTAGAGGGCAGTGTCACCTTCTACACTTTCTTCATGTGAACACTCATTCCCACAAACCGACACGAGCGCTTGTGTTGATCGGCAGTTCTGTCCCCTTGATGTTTAAAAGTTCTCATTTATGTTACAATCCCTCTCCGAGCTTCCTTAAAGGTTCAGGGTGAGCTAGAGGACATTCTGCTCAGAAATGGAGTAGAAGTTGATGCAGAAACATGTGATAATTAGTGAGGCTGCAATTGTGCTTAAAGTCCTGGTGGTGCAGTAATTAAGCCTTCAGTTACTAATAGAAAGGTGAGAGGTTCGAATCCCCCAGGCTCTCGGGGTGGGGGAAGGTAGCAAGCTGCTCCCATAACGATTCAGTTCCATTTACTGCCTTCGCGTCAGAACTGACTCATAGCTGACCCTCTCGTGAGTTTTCAGAGGCTGTAAATTGTACAGGAGGAGATTGCCCATCTTTCTCCCTCAGAGCCCCTGGTGTATTCGAACTGCGGCCTTTGGGTTAGAAGCACAACTCCCTCGAGGACTAGGCCCCCAGAACTCCCCCCATCAAGATTAGAGTCTCCTATCTTCCTGCCTTTCAACTACAGCGTTAGCTGGGAGTGTGGAGAATTGAAGACTAGCCCCTGAGCCAACACATGTGTGTTAAATGCAGTGAAACTAGAGCGTTCCTTAGAGGGAGGCTGGGGAAACGTCCTCTCTCTCACCCTGCGCTTATTTTCAGACAGAATTAATCTTCAGACAGAGCCACCACGCTGGGAAAGGTGGAGGGTCAGAGGAAGAGAAGCCTGGCAAGGAGATGGCACAGTGACTGACACAATGGGTTCCATGTGGCAAAGACAGTGGGGTGGCGGAGGACGGGGCAAGGCTCATGCCTGTGCTTCACACGGTCGCTACGATTGTAGCCAATTCAAAGCCCGAACAACAGTGTCGTCCTGCAGGGGAGGGGCTGCTCAGCCGGGACCTGTGGTGTCAGTGATGACGGAAAGGCCTGGTGGACACCGTCTTCAGTGACGTCACATGTCCACCTAAAGACCACAATTCTGCAGCTCGTGAATGATGGAGCCACAGACGCAGAGCCACTATTGTGGCCAAAGACAGCAATGTGCCAACAGGGACAGGCCTGAGGGTGGCCTCTCCACACAGCCCCGTCCTGCGCCCCAAAGACAGCAATGTGCCAACGGGAACAGGCCCGAGGGTGGCCTCTCCGCATAGCCTCTGCCCTGAGCAGAAGGTCAGCGCCCCCAGACGCTAAGGCTCCAGCTGTAGACACTGACCTGAAATAACCCAGAACAAGAGCTAGTGAGACGCTGGGAGGCAGCCGTGGGCGCCATGACACCAACGGGCCCTCTCCTCTGAGTCATGCCCACAGGTGGGTCCTGCAGCGTCATGCTCTCCCCTCCTCTGATGTCACCTGTGTCATCTGATTCCACCTCAGGCCACAAGAAGGCTTAGGCTACCCAGACCCCAAAGAGATGCTAGTGGTGACCTGTGCCCAGGACTTGGGCCACGATGCCATGGATTGGCAGCTGGCAGGACGCAGTGGGGGCTGAGCTTCCTCCACTAATTGGCTGTGCACAAGAAGTCGCTTCTGGATGCCCTGCTGGCCCTGGGGTCCTCAGTTCCTGTACAAACTGCTCGGTACCTCTGCACTAGCAGCTGTGCCTCTGCACTACCAGCCAACTGCTCCCGGCTCCCATAGGGCACCTCAGAGAGGAGATCCTGTCAGGAGGTGACCATAGGGATGGAGCCAATCACCGGCCTCCAGCCCACATCCCAGCACAGACTGCAGCCTGCTGACCAGGAGTCCTCTAGCCACCGTCTATACAACATGCTCAGCTTCAGGCAGGACCAGAGAAGGGAGTCAGCTCAGTGACAGTGGCAATGTCCGTCCCAGTGCAGGGTTCCCTGCAGCACCTGCCAGGCTGTCAGCACCAGGGGCCCACTTTTCATGGCAGGCACCTCCCACAGACCGGGAGGGCTCTATCCTGTGTATCAGGGCCTCTCTCACACACACACAGAGGTAACACCTGTCATGTTCATACAAAACTACATCAGCCCCAACATGCATATTTTATTATTCCGGGTTATGAACTATCCTATGATCAAAGCACGCCTTTAATGCGGGGTGTTGTCAGCAGTCCAGAGAACAGCACACTTGGTGCTTCTTTTTAGTTCTTCTCATAATAGATGAGGAGCTCTGGTGGCTTAACCTGGAGGGAGCTGCACTTGTAACCCAAAGACCACTCCCGTCTGGCAGTTCAAATCCACCAATGGCTCTTTGGGAGAAAAAGTAGGCAATCTCCTTCCATGCCATTCACAGACTTAGAAACTCAACCAAGGACCAGCTACGGGTCAGCTCCAACTCTACGGGTGAGTTCTTATAATCACAGACTCTCAGCAATCAGGTATGAGATCTACAGGGCTTGCTTGCAGGAGGCCCAGACTTCCTTTAGTGGATTCTTTCTCCAGTGATAACCCTGTGATAACTACAAGTGACAGCAGTGGCCCGAGGAGACTTTTCTGAGCACAAAGAGCATGAGGCGTCTACTGGGAGTGGGCTCTGGAGTAGACCTTGGACTGGAGTGAGTACTGAGGGAGGAGCCCTGAGTTCAGCTTCAGATACTTTGTGCTGCTGTTGGGACCCCCGGTGATGCACAGCAAACACTTTGAAATTCGTAGTTTTAAGACCTGCTCATGTTTTTTAAGTGCGGCCTTTCGTTTTCGCATGTTAACAACGTACCCACAATGCCTTGCTCCCAAACAGCCTCAGTCATGACAGGTGATGGGGGGAGGGAAGTGGTCAGTGGGGCAGCGCATCTGAGTGAGGACCCAGGAACGCCACCAGGGGGCAGTGTCCTGTCTGCTCTGCAGAAACTCCCCTCCCTGCTGGAGGAGGGGCAGAGAGCAGGGGGGTGGGAGGGAGAGGAACTGGGACTTGACTTCTCAGGGCTTCCTCTCAGGGAAGGAAGAGAGGGGCCGCCCCAAACATGCTGAGTCTCCTGCTGCTTCTCCTGGGGGCAGGTGTGAGCCTAGTCCATTGGCGTTGGGATCACAGGCCTCCTGAGTAGAGGGGCACCTCAGGCCACTGTCAGGGGTGAGGGCTAAGGGGTGTGGCGTGGAAGGGTGATGATCGCTCATGAGTCTCCTTTTTCTCTCTCACCAGGCTCTGTGTCCAGTGTCCTCATCTCCCAAAAGCCAAGCAGGAACATCTGTCAACAAGGGACCTCGGTGACCATCCAGTGTCAGGTTGACACTCAAGTCTCTTTCATGTTGTGGTACCTCCAGCTCCCAGGACAGAGCTTGGCCCTGATCGCAACTGCAAACCAGGGCTCAGAGGCCACGTATGAGAGTGGCTTCACCAAGGACAAGTTCCCCATCAGTCAGTCAAACCTCACCTTCTCCACACTCACTGTGAGAGCGGGGAGCCCTGAGGACAGTGGTGTCTACTTCTGCAGCGCTGACACAGTGCTGGGCGTGGGCCTGACGGTGGGGCAAGAACCCTGCACCCCACACACAGTCGGGTAGACAAGCTCCCAGACCTGCAAGGAGGTCTGCGCATAAGTGGGCTTGGGTGGGAAAAGGATCTAGCTCTGCTTAGGACAACAGTGAGCCCCAGAGGTAGGTTCCAACCACAGACAGGAAGAGATCACCAGGGAGTGAAGCTTCTCGAAGAGGCTGTAAACATGTCAGTGCGTCAAAGTGAAAGATTAAAATTAAAACAGCCCCTATAGTTCTCAGCTGAATTAAACTCAGGTTTCTATAGTTCTCAGCTAAGTTAAACTCAGGAATTTTTCCATTGTCCCGGGTAGAGCCCCACACCCACTTGTATCCAGGGCAACAGTATTTCAAAAATGGCTAACTACAGGGTAGGGCAAACAAGCAGATATTTCTCGACTGATAACCCATGTGCCTTTGTTTCCCGACTGATAACGCATGTGTCTTGTGCTTTTCCACTACCCTGGAGTTTGAACTCATTATATACTTAAGAATTTGTGAAACCACCCTATAGTTAAAGATCTGTCTAACTGCTACATGTGCTACGTGACTGCCACATGTGCTATGTGCAAATATGCTGTGTAAACCATGAGCGAAAACTGAACCAATGAATTCAAACTGTGCTTTCATCACCCAATGAGAAGCTGATACCCAGTTGTATCCCCCTAAAGTGTATAAAAAAAGCCAACTTTGTCTGCTCGAGGTCGACTCCTCTGTCTCCTGCGAGAGATACGTGTCGGCCCGGAGCTCCGCAATAAACCTCTCCTCTTGCTGTTGCATCAAGCCGGTGTCTTGGAGTCTTGGGTCTTCGCCGTCTACTCGGGACAGGACAGGACCACCGGTTCGGGGGTCCTTCAAAAGAACTGCAGTGTTGACCTAATGTGCATATTCTGTATATTGAAATCAATGTCACAAAATTCTGTTAGATGGTACAAAAAGATGGCTTTTTGAAAACCATCTCCAGTGGCCCAGTGTTAAGAAGCTGTGATGCAATCTCAAAGACACAATTCAAATCCATCATCTACTCCACAGGAGAAGGATGAACTCCTCCTGTGTGATTTACTGAAAATCCTGTTATAAAGCAGATCTGATATGGGGGGGTGGGAGGAGAATGGAATAAGTGTGGATAGATAATGACCGTTGCATTGGAAAAGATAAAAGAAAGAACTGTCTAAAAGGAGTATATACGTATGACAGCAGCCTGGAAGAAGAGGTCTATCATTGCTAAGAAGACTGGTTGGGGGCAGGCAGTGGAGGAAGGCAGGCAATTGTTCAACAATGAATGAATGCTGTTTGTTGTTATGTGTCTTCACGTGTGACTCATAGGGACCCTATGTCCACAGTCCTGAAACCTGCTCTATCAGGTGCCAACTTTACTGTCTCCGACACACCCACCCTCATTACCCTATTCACTGTATCAATCCATTTCATTGATGCTCTCTCTTCCTCTGTCCCTCCACCCTCCCAAGCATGATGTCCCTCTCCAAGGACAGGTCTTGCCTTGCAACAAGCCCAAAGAATGTCAGATGAAGTCTCAGAATCCTTGCCTCCAAGGAGTAGCCTGGTTTAACCCTCTCTAGGATGAACCTGTTTGTTTTCCTGGCAGTCCATGGTACATTCAACACTCATCTCCAGCACCACAGCTCAAAGGCATCAATTTTCTATCATCCCTATGTTTTTTTAACTCTATTTTTTAATTAATTCATTTTAATGAAAGCTTACAAAGACTTTGGATTTCCATTCATTCATTGTTGCACTTTCTTCCCTGTCAAACCTCCCCCCAAGTTCGCTCTTCTCTTCGAAAAGTAAAAGAAAAATTCTTTCATTGTTATGCAATCCTTCCCCCCAAGTCCACTCCACTATGCAGCCTTTTTTCTGGACTCTTGTCATGACATTAATACCTAATCATATATCCCTAGTTTTAAAAAAAGCAAACTGAGGGAGGGAGAAAAGAAGGAGAGGGTGTAAAATGTGCCACAATACACGAATAAAAATCTAACTTCTTTGTAAACATTCATTAAAATCACAATTAAAATTTTGTTTTAAAAAAGATAGAAAACCCTCCAAGGGTCAGCTATCATCACACAACAGCAGTATATTTTTAATATGAGGAAATTTTACAAGGATTATCTCTACAAAAAGAGACTTTTGAGCCTAGAAACAAAGAGCAATGATTTTGAGCAGATCATTGATGAGATCACATGTGTTTACAGTTTTGGAAGATGAACTCCTCCAGGATGCATCTCCACAGTGACAGCAGGGCATCTGAGCATCAGTGGTGATCTCTGGACCCCCGGCAGAGAGGACAGAACTACCTCCACACCCCAGAAGTCAGAATGGTGTAGAACTTAGTCACAGACCTAGAAACTGCAACAGACAAGAAAACTACCTTCTCCTTAGTAACATTTTATAAGGAAGGCGTGTCATTGTAGTCTAGAAAGCCAACTGAAAGGAGCCTCACCAGACTGTGGGCCTTTATCCTCCTAGCCTAGAAGGACAGTTCTGAGGAAGAACTCCATCCTAAGTTAAAATCCTTTGTTGAGTGTTGAAGTTTTCCTCTCCACCCTGTGACCTCTCTACCTTCCACTCTGTAAGGAGGTGTCACTCCCTTTCTGTTAATATAATCCCTTCAGATCTTTTATCAAATACGGCCTTTTCCATGAATAGGAAGAAGAACATAAATCTTTTAAACTGTTACTGAATTTCTCTTAGGATTACTCTGAATTACAGGCTTTCTTATTTTCCCATTTCTTTTTCTTCTTATAGGATGTGCTGAATCAAAAGATTATTTTTCCTTAAGGCAGTTCAGACCAAGGATGTGAGCGTTCAGTGAATGCAGGCACACATGACCCAGAATCACACCCTATACCTTGCCATCAAGAACTCCCTCTTAAGAACCTTTAATTAAAACAACTATGAGATATCATCTCACACCAGTCAGAACAGCAAAATTTAACAGAACAGCAAGCAACAAATGCTGGCGAGGGTGTGGAGAAAATGGAACTCTTATTCACTGTTGTTGGGGGTGTAAAATGGTGCGACCACTGTGGAAGGCTGTATGGCGCTTTCCCAAAAAGTTGCAAATAGAGATACCATTTGACCCAGCAATTCCACTACTGGGAATATACCCCAAAGAGACCATAACTGACA